TTGGATTTGATAAAGAGTCACAAATTAATGGAATATTGTTTAAAATCTAATACTGCTTCTTGATTCTAAATTCGTCCTACGAGTTTCAATTCCGTCCATACGCATTGAAACGGCATTACTTGATAGAGCTGGAATTAGGGCGTATTAGCTTTTGTAAACAATTACTTCTTTCAATGATTTCTAGAAAGTCAAGTCTCGCCAACGCAAATTAACATTACCATCGGGTAGGGGAAGAGTTCCCCTATCGGATGGTCATGTTGTTTTGCGTGAGCGTGCCTTGGATATCATCGAGAGAAGTCATTGTTTACAAAAGCTGTTACGCCCTAATTCCAGCTCTATCTAGATTAGATTTTTTTTTCGTCCTACGGATAAACGTAGAAAAAGGGGAGAACAATGAGCGTGAATATTCATACAATGCGCTCTAACAGAATTTATGTTGTAGCTAATGAACTAACGCATCGGAACAAACCTACTATTGATTTGTACATGGTGAAATCATTGATATTATTGATCTTTTCTGATCGATAGAACGGAAATGGGCGATTACGACGAAGTAGCGCTCTACCCTACCTCTTCTTCTGAGGTTGGAATCTATGGAAAATTAACGCTATTCCTCCTGTCTCGTGGAAGTCGTATGAGGAAATGTTAGAGTTGCTACCATGTTGCTACTGTTGGTATGGATGAGCCTGACATAAGGGTAAAATACCAAAAAAATAAAACCAAAAAAATGTTCCCACAATACCAATCCAATACCTAATTATGATAATGCAATACCAAAACAATACCACACAGATATTATGTTGGTATTCAAATATAAATTTTAGTTATTTACACAGTATTTTGCATGTAATTTTTTGGAAGTATTCTTTGGTATTTTACCTCTGGCCAATACCAAATTTTGGTATCAGATCAGAATGATGTATTGGTTATTTTCTCCTGCTCGGATCAGGCTCATAAATACTATATGCAAGTTGCCAGTTATGCTATTATCATACCTGAATTTGGTATTCATAAGCTATTTTCTCCTGCTTGGGTATTGAAAAAACATGGCTAAAATAGGAGCATCACACCTATCCTACACATCACACGATTAAAAGATAGGACGCAATGTGAATATGGGTTGTGCACGAATAGCAACAATCAATACGGAACTAACGATTTTAAGTTGACCCATTACTAGACTAGCCCATTGGTACAAGTACCCAAGTACATCGGAAAGCGTAGTCGATTCTCGTACTGGAATCTGTTAAAGTTTGTGTTTGTTTTGATTCGCTGTAATAACTTGAGAGGTGCTTCAATTGGCGTTGACGGCGACTCTGTAGCTCTTTACTCCTATGGTAAAATCCATAAGCAAACGTCAGACTGTGCGTGAAATATGGCGGACTTCATACTATCCTCTCACTCCACCGAAAAATCCCATAAAGCTGGGTTTAGACAGGGCAAGTCAATTGATCAAGTCAGCTGAATTCAACTGACTTGAACGCTAATTGAACGTGTAAACCATGCCATTCAACTGACTTGATCAACTCACGTGAATTGAAAAAAGTTGAACCAGGCTCAACTTTTCAAGCCAATTGAATTCAACTGAGTTGATCATTTGACTTGCCCAGTCTAAACCCAGCTTTAGAGTTACCTCTATGCGCATAGTACTGGTTTTCAGTTTGTTTTTGTTTGCTTTAATTTCAACACACCGCACACAGCTGACAGAACGGATGAAAAGCAGTTAGTGAAAAAATTGCCCGTACAGGGAAATGTCAGGGATGCCAGATACTTTTGCAAAATGTCTGTAAGCAAGCTTATGAAATGTCTGTATTTGCCTTTATCAGGAATTTTGAATAGTGAGAGTTATCTCGGAGCTAGAGCTAGGTTGCAAACGCTCATTTCGCATAACAACAGATCTTTCGTAATAATTACCTTACATTCATATTCAAAGATAGAGAAACGAAAAATTGACACCTACGCAGGACCAATTGCAGTCATTTTCAGGGTTGTTACGAGACATTTGTAATAAAATCAGCCCCAAATCCACATCAAATTTAATTCAAATGTAGTAGTATTAAAATAGACTTTGTAATTCAAAAATTTCAACGGCGTTTGAATGTTCTGTGAACCTCCTCGAGCCTATCTTGATCTTTTTCAGAACTTTTCGAACTTTCACGGAGGGTCCTACTCTTCCATGGGATTATTCAAATTGTTGTTTGATGTGTTATTATTTATGTTTTGGAAGAATTTTTGAGGTTCATTGAATTTTCTTTTGGTTCTCTAGACATATTCAAAGTACTGATTTTCCTTCCGTAATTTTCTTAGATCTTTATATCAACTTCCTTTACATGTTCAAGATTTCCAATTTCTTTTTTAGTTTTCGTAATTTTAAGAATCGCAAGCAAACTAACCTATGGTTGATTTAAACTTCTCTAAAATTACTTTAAGCTTCCCTGAAGATGTTTGAACAGCTTCGAAGATTCGTTCTGAGCTCCCTATACTTTTCTGAATCTCTCCCAAACTGATCTGAAGAATTTCTTTGAAGTCCATTGATCGTATTGCCGTTGCAGCTGAAATCTGGAAAAACCCACAAGCGACAAAAGATTTTACTCTCTTTCTATACGTTATACGTAGTGTTGAACGTAGTGCACAATGATGTGCTATAATGCGCACTACTTGCGACACTATGTATAACGTACATAATGACAGTGAAATCGGTTTTTGCTTGTGAGTTTTCCAGTCTTTCTGAGATTTTCTAAACTGCAATGAAGTTCCTTGTGCTTCTATAAATTTAACTGCCTTTCTCTGAATACAACAGATTTTCTTTGGAATTCAAGAAATTTATCAAAAATGAAACTTCTATGAAGCCTTCAGAACTAGTTATTGTTAATTTATGATAATCAGGAATATAATGAAAAGAACCTAAGTGGCACACATCTGTCACACAACGTTGCAGAAACTTGATTGTGAGCAAAGTTAGAGGCAGTTACCTCAACCGGTTTATGACAAGTGCACTACTAGGGAAGAAGCAGCTAAGCTTGAAGAACTCCTGAGAGGTCTGACGAGTGGAACGACTTGATCGTAAGAAGCATGATTTTGAGGATTTCATGCTAAACCGATGGATTGGATGCATAATAGACTGATGCAAAATTTTAAATTTTTGCTCCACGGTGCTTAAACGATTCAAAATCGGGTCCAGATTGGCATCCCAAAATTTGAACTCATTTGGTAAGCAACTGACTTGGCACAAGCCATTTGAAGTTTATACGGAAATGACTATGAGAAAACAGAAGTCGAAACTTTAATGCCAAATCGATGTGAAGCCGTTTGAACACTGTGGAACTTATGTAGATGCATAGGTCCAAAAATGACCGTCAAGATGGCTGATTGAAACACTTAATCACTTAAATTTTTCTATTACTCAAATATCCGACACTATTGATCACTTCGAGTATGAAATTTGCATCTCCATATTTGTTGCTCTGCAGCTAACACGAGGAAGCAATTTTGTCAGTGTATATTTCGGGTAGCTGATATTTTTTGCGCTCTAGACGATGTGAAATGATAATGAAAAAAAAGCTTCGAGACAGTCACCCCTATCCTCTGTTCCGTGTAAAGCAGATTTCCCACACAAACATTTTTTTTTGTATGGGAAATCCGTTTCGAAAGGATTAGAGGATAGGGGTGAGTATTACCTTAGATCTCGATGGTGGCAACACGTAGTTTCTGTCATTTTTCCATTCCACAGGGTTTATTATATGCAAATCTTTAAGTTCGTTTCCTGCATCTCCTTTCTTCGACGTTTCAAAGGTTTGAACAATTATGACACCTGGAGTTGAAACAGACAACGTTGTGTATTTTTAAATTTAAGACCCTAGCCTCGTGTGGCCAAAATGTATTGATTTGCTAGCGTTAGATTTTTCGAGCATCATTTTGGATTGGGATTTAGATAGAACTTCCCATCTCGGTTAAAACACTAAAAACGCTCAAAAAGACCGAAACTGACATAATTACTCAAAGTGATTCCTGAGGTCTTTTTCTGATCATATTTCGCAAATTCACGACTCTAATGTCAAGATTTCCGTGGTTCATAAATCTAAAAAAAAATTAGATATTGCAAACAACAAGCAGTAGGTTCATCTAGGTAGGTGTATTCACATAAACCTTAAAATTTTGACTTGTGAAATTGCAAAGTGTAATGCGAAAAAGGACCCAAGTTACCTTAAAACGCCAAAAATAGCTTGAAAACTCTAAATGGTGCTAAAAAGACCTGATCTTCTACCTCTGATTTTACAGAAGAATCTCTTTTAGCCTGTGAATTATTTGTTGAGTTAAATTTAAATCGTGATTAAAAGTGACATTTCGAAAGTTAATTTCCATGTAGGAAAATCCCTGATCGATCGGTTTTCGAGCAGAACTCAGCCACGGTTGTCAAAATTTAACTTCTTGCCTGTCAGAAATAACCACGCTCGGATAGCTGAGTTAATCGATAACTTTCCATCTGTCAAATTTTATCCGAAAGTTGAAAAAACGCCTTAGACTGTGTCCATTTGGTAAATTTTCACTTAAATTTGACAGATGAAAATTTTTCAAATAAACCTTCTAGAATAGCCAGCTTATTTCTGACGGACCAGTAATCAAAACTGACCGACACGTTCTCGAAAATTGGCCGATTAACAACAGAGAGATTTTCGAAAATTTTAATTTATTTTCGTAGTTTCAAATCTAAGAGAAAATTCACCAAATGGAATACAACCATAACAATGCAGTAACGCTATAAACAAAAAGCTCAAGTTCGAATGTGATTGAAACATTTCACGATAGTCAAAATGTCAAACGACCCCGATGACCCTTCGCTGAAATATGTCAAGCAGCTTCAAACCTTCACCTCCAAAGTCAATTCAACTGGTATGAGGATTCATCCGAACGTAAACCGTAAGCACTTAAATTACGAACGACGCGCCAATTCGTGCAGTTGCCCAAGTTGCCCTGTTTCAAAAGTAGTGGTCTAACAAAACAAAAATACAGTCTGATCGATGTGATGTTGCAATTCCTTTTCAATAAATAAGTTTCCTACCTTCAGTTGCTAAACTAGCAGGACTTTTGTTTGTTTGTTTGTTTGATTTTTCTCCGCTCTGCTTACTAGTTGTTTCGCATTTTTTTTTTCGCCTCAAAAATTCATACATTACATTTACAGAGAATACTAAAAGATAGTAATTTGTTTCACTTTCTTTTCCTTAACTTGTGTCACAAACCTTTTTTTTCCGTTTCCTACTTTGTGTTTATGACACACTCGCTCATACACACGCACGCACACTATCATTCACAACCACATCCACCAGTCCGTCAAGCACTCGCACGATTCACCTACTGATGTTGTTGCTGCTGCTGCTACTACTGAAGTCGCGGCGGCGGCGGCGGCGGCTGCTGCTGCTGCTGCTTCTGTTGTTGTTGTTTTTGTTGTATATGTACATGTATGTTGCTTGCAGTGTTATCTTCGAATTAAGTTATTAAAGTTATTATGCTATTGTGGTGGCCCGGGATTGTGGGGAAGATTTGGCGGCGGGCCCTGCACTCACACGCACACGCACAAGGTTTGTTTTGACAAAGATTTAAAACGGTAGATTCATGGTCAGTTAACAAGTTTCATTCGTTTATGTTGTAGTAATAGTAGTGGTGTTGGTTGAATTTCATGCACACAAACACATTGTTGTTGATTGTTGGTTGGGGAAGGGCCGAACCAATAGCCAGTTGTTGTTGTTTTGTGGTATTCACAGAGGGCACGCATTACACGGAAAGTAGATTCGTTTTTTGATGGTTGGAAGAAATTAGAGAAGAAAAAGATTGTATTTTAGCACGTGCTATCCTAAAATATGTTCTATCATACACTCTCGTTCTGTATCTGATTATTTGTTTTCATTTAAGCCAAATTACACGGGTACGGGTTTGAATTTTGAAGTATCTTTATTATAATTGATGTCACGACACGGGAGGCTCACGTGCGCGTTCACTTTTGCTCACTCTCGTTCTTGCTTGAGGTTACTTACGGGTAGTGAGGGGTACGGCGTTTGGTGCAATATGTGAGGGGGCAGTTTGGGGCCATCCTCGGCTTTTTCCTCCTCTCGCCGCTTCAGACAGGCGGCTTTTGGGTTTAGGTTGCGTTCTACGGAAAAACCAGTGATTAGTTTGGACAAATTTCCAAGGTGAGAAGAAGGTTAAGAAATCCTTACCTCGCACTTGCTGCTCGAGCGTCATGATCACCTCGACGGCCATATTCAATATGCCGAGCTTGGTTTGGGGCTTGTCTGATTTGAGGTGTGACATGCACATGCGTCCCAGTTCCTTCAGAGCTTCGTTGATGTCCCGGATGCGTATTCTGTAATGTAGAAATCCAATAAGCATTTGCATGCACCAAAACCAAGTTCCCAAATCGGCTACCTTTCCCGGGCATTGTTGGCCTGTCTCCGTTCCTTCTCCTTTCGATCCTTAGTCACCGGATCGATGTCATCGTCATCGTCGTCATCGTCAGCACTGGAACAACTGCGTGAATTTTTACTATAGTAGCATCATAGAAGTTGAAACATTCACGCACAAATCGAATTGAAACAGAGGATACAACGTAACGCCAACCAACCCAACAGAAGATTGATGAAAATATAAGAAAAGTAGACAAGAACGAAAGAAAACCGTTACTATTTGATACTTATAAAACCCCGAAAGACTATAACTAAGCAAAATTACAAATGATTCTAATAGATTATTGATAAAATAAAAAAAGAACAACATCACTCACTATTTACGCTGCCTCTTGGCACCCTTGGTGGAACCTGGTACGGAACTGCTAGGTTTGGTGTCTGAATCTGGAGGCTCTTTGCGTTTCTCTGCAATAAAACGATAATCAACTGTCAGTTATCCAATTTCCCAAATCAACCAAAATCACAAACTTACTGATATTGGCGGAACCCGGTGTGCTTGGTAATCTTTCGGTTTTCACTGGTATGAGCCCGGCAGCGACGGCCGTCGGTAAATCACTGGTCGAGTCTTGGCCGTGCAGCTGCTGCTGCTGCTGCTGTTGTTGTTGGGACGACGGACCGCCCGGTGGAATGATCGATGCCCCGGCGGCACCGTACTGCGAACCGGCATCGATCGAAGAGAGCGAAACACCGACCTGCGGTTCGCAGTGATTCCGCAGGATGTTGATCGCGTCGTCCAGACGCTCCTCCATGCGGGTGCCCTGGAAAAAGGGAAGCGAAGCGAAAGGCATTGTGAAAGTCGTATCCCGGAGGATTTTGATGCTTGCTGAACGTGGAAACGTGGAAGCAGTTAACCTATATAAGTTAAGTGCAAACAATGTTGTTAGTGGAGAGAGCTAGTTTAAGAATATTTTTCGAGGTGCATCAGCCAAAGACAAAAAAAACGGCGCGGGAACGATCTAAAAATATGATATTTTATGGAAAGCAACCGCTGCCACAAACTTTTTAAAGAAGAGACAATCAATGTTAAGAAGGTTTTTCAATAAACACCATTAAAACTTTAAGTTTAACATTTGCTTAATTTTACTAAGTAACGGCATTTCTAATCAAAAGAGCAGTTCCTGGTAAAATAGCGAAAAAAATGATTTTTTTTATGTGTTTGATAAAATTTGCCCATTTTAGATTTTGTAAATTTTCAAAATGGCGCCTCTCATTTTTTTAAATTGAGGCACATACACGGCATTTCTAATCAAAATAACGTCAATGATTCACATTTTTGCAAAAATTCAGCAATTTTGGATCTTTTGGTTGGCATTTTTCAGGAGCTTATTTTGGGATATAAAGATTTTGAATTTGTTTTGACGTAAGACTACGTCTGTAATTTCTATATGGGGGTACACTTTTTGAAAATCGAAAATGGAAAATGTAACAAAATTATGAAAGATTTTGAACGTTAATAACTCAGCTGCCCCTGGACCAATTTCAATAACTTGATCACCAATCGATCAGAAATATTCGCACGCATCTGTTAAAATTAAGACTTTATATTTTTTCAACATGTCACTATTGGCAATTGAAAGAATGTGCAACTGTTGCTATGATAATTAAAATTATCACCGGTTGCCTGCAAAAAGCGATTTCTAAGTTAAATTCCAACCGGTCTCACCAAACGGTGTTAATTCAATCACCGCCTGGTGAGTAAACAAACTCCTGCTGCAGTTAACAAGTAAAATTATATAAGACCACGTAGTTCTACGTCACCATTGCGCACAAACCCATAGGGCTGTCCATTGTAGTTTTTAGTTTTTGGGCGCAAACATTTTTGTTTTCCTAAATACGGCTTTGGGACCATTGTGCAGTGGATGGTCTTCCGCAAAATCAGAATCATCCGTAAAAGAGGTGCATCCATTAAACTGATCCTAGAACTCCGTATTTTTTCGAAAACTCTTATAGACGTCTTTTAATTAAGAATCAGAAGTTACGCGATCGTCTCATCAGAATGAACTCGGAGTTGTGACTGGAAAATCGACCCCAGGGTCCATTGGCTGGTCCTCCGGAATATCCGGCAGATCCGTTAAAGAGGATAGTTCAAGAAAACTAATCTCAGCACTTTGTTTTTTTTTGTAACTATGAACGGTTTCGAAAAAAAAAACATGGAGCTCTAGGATCCGTTTCATGAGTTGACCACTTTTAACAGATGTTTCGGATCTTTTAGTGGACCAACCCGTGGTCCCCAGTATAAATTGTCTGGTCATTCCTCCGATTTTATTTTGATAAGTCGTCTATGAGTGGTTTCTAAAAACCGTGGAGCTCTACGATCAGTTTCATGAATTGACCGCTTTTACGGAGTTTCCAAATCTTCCGGTGACTTATCCCGTAGTCTCCAGAGTCCATATTCCGAACTCATCTCCAAATTCATTCTGATAAGATGTCTATGAGTGGTTTCGAAAAAGCCAAGTAGCTTTAGTATCAGTTTAATGAATTGACCACTTTTATGGATGTTCGGATCTTTAAGTGAACCATCCCGTGATCACCAGTATCAATTTTTTGGTTAAAACTCCGAATTAATTGTGATAAGACGTCTATGAGTGGTTTCGAAAAAACTGCGAAGCTCTAGGATCAGTTTTATGAATTGACCTTTTTTACGGATGTTCCAGATCTTTTAGTGAAGCAACATGTGGTCCCCAGTTTAAATTTTTTGGTCAAAACTTCAATTTTATGGTGATAAAAAAACCGTGAAGCTCTAAGATCAGTTTTACGAATTGACCACTTTTACTGATGTTCCGGATTATCCGGTGAACCATCCCGTAGCCTCCAGAGTCCATATTCTGAACACAACTCCGAATTAATTCTGATAAGATGTCAATGAGTGGTTTCTAAAAAAACACGTAGCTCTAGGATCAGTTTCATGAATTGACCACTTTTACGGATGTTCCGGATCTTCCACAGGACCAGACTCGTGTCCTCTCGAAAACTGACTCTTCTCAAAAGGTGACCAACTATATTCTTGACAACTTCTCCAAAGAAATCAGGAAGTTATCTCTTCAAATTGCCGTACAATCAGTGTTTGGTCCCAATTAGCTCAAATTCTATATAGTACGTGCATTCGTAAATGCCGGACCAACCGCACTTTAGGAATCCAGTGGCATCAGCACTATAGGAATCCGGCAAGAACGAATCCGCACTATAGGAATCTTGACTGTATAATGTCTGCCATAGTCTATCACCAACGTTTTCAAACATCGGTACTTCTTCCACTTTAATCTCATCTTCGTCGTCTGAAACCTCCATAGGCTGACAAGGACGATTCTGTGGCAGACAAAGCCCTATTCTTCCTCTTCATAATAACGTGTTGCAGGAGGCTTCCATATGAAATTTTAAAGATTTAACATGATAAATATGTCAATAATTGCAAGAAATTCAACTTTTATAAAAACCTGTAAGGCCCCTTGGCGAGCGAGGGGTCTATTAATTTGAGCTAAGGAAACTAAGAATCTCATTCTTGCGTCAGTTTCGACCAATCAAGCGGATAATTTAAATATTTAAAGACCATGTGTCAATGGCGGCCTGGTTTCAATGAGAATTACTCAGAGGATACCAATCAAATTCTTAGAAGGAAATTCCAAATCAAAGGAAATTTCAAGTTTCTGGTTTTTGGAGAATTTTCCGGTTAGTTAGAATTCAAAGATAATTCAGAGCAAACGCCCAAGTGAATACTGAAATTCATATCATGGGAATTGTCAATACAATTTTATTTAAAACCTCGAAAAGGTTTGGTTCAGTTTCGGTTTTAAAACATATTTTATTCCAAAGCCCAGCATCTTCCGTATTTTATTTTAAAACTCATCTTTCGTTTCGTTTTTTCTAAAAGTATTGGAAAACGATATCGCAAATCTAACAATATCAGATTGTCCTCCTTTCTTAAAATAAAAACTTTTTTTTATAATCCTTAAACACTAACGGGCAGATCAAATGAACCATTTATAGTGAAACTTCTGATCTCAAATTGCGGAAGAAGGTACTGAGGTCAATAAAAACTAACCCTGGTAGTTTGTTCTGATCGTTCTGATCGTGATGTCGCCTAACAAATCTGTCACATTCAATATAGTTATCAACTTGTTTCGGCTCTGGCGAATGCAGTTGGTACGATAAAATCCAGAGATCATTCTTATCAAGTCACAATTGTTTCAATGGCAAAGTATAAACCAATTAGGTAGATCGATACCCATTCCGTTCATTGTTGTCCCTAATCAGAAGTCATAACCGAACACTTATATAAAAATATAAAAATGGACATCAACACGCAAAACAAGGACATCAAAAATAATTAGAAAAAAATAAATCCCAATCAACCAGAAGAAAGATCCAGAACCAGCACACGACCACTTACCGTTCCATTCTCCGAGTGCTCCCTGAGCAGCGACACAATCGCATCGTCCAGCGGTTGAATCTCGGGCGAATTAGCCTAATCGTTGATTTCGATGACGTTGTTGTTGAGGCGAAGTCGCCGTAGCGATACGAAAAAAAAAAGAGAAACACAAAAATAGAAAACATGCATCAACAGAAAGGTTTCAATAAATAGGACTGAACTGAAAACGTGAAAGCCTGAAAGCGAGAACGTAAATATGGGTGGCCAAGAAGTGCAACTTTGTATCAATTGGGTGAGTTCTGGCCTGTATTGCATTACAGCAGCATACAACCAAGAACAAAACGGCGGGAGGCTTTCGCGTAACAAAGGTTGGATGAATTAACAGAAAACAGGGAAGGTGCGTCCCGTGAGCATAAGTTAAGAAGAACGTGCAGAATGCAAAAATGAAACATGAGAACCTACTAAACGATCCAGCAGCGATCGGTGGGGGTGTGTGCTTTGGGACTAAAACTAAAAGGTATCGGCTTTCCACGTAGTTATCACAAACAGAACGCCAATGAAGAAAACATCGTACAATGAATTTCAATGCCACAGAAAATGATAGACAAAACAAGCAGGGTTTACGACTTTTTCAGCGAATTTGAATGGGTTGAATGCATGACTTGAACAGTAATGAATCGAATAGAAACAAATAACAGAAAACGAAACTAATGGCAAATGATCAGTATTGAATAAATTCGGTCAAGATCTTCAAGTCTCGCGTGATAATAGATAATCAAATGTAAGGGAAGTGCATAAGTGTAGGAAAAGTATGCAAGCAAAATCAGTCAATCCACACAAACCGCAAACATGATAGATGAAATGACCCACCCCCAGGTAATTAAGACGAAAGTTTTGTGGCCAATAATGGGGTAGCGAAAAGACAAGCATTCTCTGAGCACGCGCTAGCAACACAAGAGACGGAAGAGAGCATTTTTGCAATTACCATGTGCTGCAGGCCTCGGTGCACCAGTTCGGGAGCGTAGGAACCGTTGGGTAAGCCATTGAGAGCTGCGGCCGCTGCCACGGCAGCCGCGGATCCTGCCGCTCCAGCCGGTCCAGTGCCATTGTTGATCACAGGGTTGATTTGTTGCCAGGGGCTACCTGCGGCGGCCGCTGCAGCTGCTGCTGCCGCTGCCGCCGCCGCAGCTGCAGCGGACGACGCCGTGGCCGAGGAACCTACACCACCGCTGGACGATCCGGCCGTCGCACTGGAGCCGTGTATACTCGCGGCCACGGACGATTGCTGCTGGGCGACGGCTGCTGCGGCTGCGGCGGCCGCTGCCTGCTGCTGTGATGTTAGTGGAGGAGGTGAGTTCACTGGTGTCGTTGGGTTTGAACCGTAACTGCTAATGCTCGGATCAGTGGGATACATCTACAGACCGAGAGAAGCGGTAAGGGAAGGAAAACGAGATTAGTAATTCTGCTGAGTTAAGAACATTGCTCGCGCGTCCTACTAACCGTTTTCAGTGCATTTCCGACGAGCGTATCGTTTTGTACAATTGGACTATGTTGTGCATGTTGATTGTGGTGACCTGCGATTGCGTTGTAGATTGCGGGTGAGTTCTGTCCCTGGGGACCGATCGGCGGTATCTGGGCGGTGTTTCCCCGGAACGTGCTCATCGGTGGAAGTGCTTGTGTTTGATTCTACAAATAAAAAGAAAACGGGAAGCAGGTGAATTGTTAGTTGCGAAACCTTCCATCGCGTGACACTTACTTGGTTTAGATGTCCGTCCATGTGCGGAACGCCGACCGGCGACATTGCGTACTGGTCATGGCTATGCTGGGGTCCACCGAGGTGCGCCCCGTGACCTACGTTGTGATACGCAGAACCGGCCGTGTGAGGCGCGTACGCACCGCTGGACGATGAGGGATACCAGGAACCACCCGGAGCGTCATAGTACGCATCCGGTTGGTATAGACCGCCACCCGGCTTGGGTGACGTGTACCTCTGCCCTCCGGACACCGGGCTTTCGTGAGTATATTCCTCTGGTGTGTACTGAACCGGGAGAAAAAAAAAGGAGACACAAAATTACAATTAGTTGCGAGAACATTGAGGGTGGTCAGAGATCATCAGCTGACGACAGCGCAGGTATCAAATCACGGACTCACTGATCCGATAGCTGCGTTACGTTACACTTTACCGTCTGGCTGGATCGACCTCCAAGGGGAACGAAATCCGATACACTCTTTATGTTCTGATTATTATTAGAACTCGGCCCAATCACCGCCATCTTCCACTCGTTCCCAAATGGTAAATGAACCCGCTGCTGCTGACGAACAGGAAGATCTTACGATCGTTTGGAAAGTTTTTGCTCGTCTGCCTATTTCTTAAATTTTAGTCGTCTGTAGCAGCAACGCACCACTGTCTGCGCTGCTACTTCGTCCTCCTAATGACGGTTAGAGCGTATAGTGAGGGAGCAAGAGTACGTGTACCTTTTTTGGCCGGAGGTCCTTCAACCCTTTTTTCGGTTTTGTTTTCCTCTCCCTTTTTCGAGCATGGGTTTCAGTTTAAGTGCTACATATCATGGATGCGTTGGATGCAACGCACTGCACGTTCATGCAGCAGGACTTTTCCGAAGACATGATAAGTTATATGATTATGTTGGAATTATCTGCTGATCGACGAAAAGAATTAAAAAAAATAGAATATAGGGAAAATGGCTCTAATGTTTGGGCCCATTGTTAAAAATCTGCTATTTATCAATTTTATCTAGATGAACGCGTCATTGGGACGGTACTAATGGATATTTTTGGTCGCTATTGAAAATTTAGTCGATTGCTGAATTTATGTATGGGCCCAAATTAGGGGCATTCAGGCCGACATTACATCCATTTCCCCTACTTTTAAGAACTGAATCTCTGGAATTGCGTTAAAGCTACTAAGAAATATAGTTCAATTAAAGACGTGACAATTTCCACACTATGAAACTACAATTTGTTTTTTTAGAGGTAACATAATAAAAAATTGATTAAACTACTTTAATTAAAGTATTTTGGAACAACGAACTTCTTCAATAAAGTCACATCAATTTGTAGCTCAAGACGACTGAACTGGTGGATCCAAAATGTTTCAAGAAATTGTCCAAAAGAGTCCTAGATTTGTGATTGGATTTGTCCTAAAATACTTCTGTAAGGCATCTGGAGCTTACCTACCTAGATTCCGTCGATCTTGTTTTCCGTGCTGAGCACCAATGCTCCCCTGGACCTTACCACCTATCGACCCATCAACTCATGAACCGGGGACCAACGGCTTTACTTCCTTTCCAAAGGTGATCAGAGATGTTATGCCTCAGAACATCCTGGCGGCGCCGAGTGGGATTGAACCCAGGCCTGCTGGGGTGAGAAGTAATCACGCTTACCACTACACCAACCGCTAATTGACCAACAGATGATTCATAAGACCCATAAGGCCTGTATATTCTCTAGCGTGGTCTCTAGAGTGGACCAATAAGCAGGACTTTGCATTTGCGATGCTCTGAAATGAGCATCACTCCCATAACGCCATTCTAGGGCTAGCAACGCCAAACTAAAATGAAAAAGAAGCATGCTAAGAACGAAAGGCTGGCTGTGGATTTTCTCGTATTGCTTTGATCACTTCCTTTCAATGGAAGTAATGTCGATTTTCGAGTTGAAACGAAGTCTCAACTTGTTTTTCAATTAATCATGATGCTACCATGCTTTTGCGTTAATTTTCCTGCAGATGTCACTGCTGTTTTTAATGGTGACATCTATCGGAAATTACGCATTCACTTAGTTCCGTTAATTGTTTACAGAGGCAGTGCGGTCAAAACATGTATAGTAGCTCTATACTGCCTATAATCGCACATCAGTCCCACATGGATATTCAACAATTTTAAGATAATAATGCAATCCATTATCAATTGGCATCTACTTTCATATCACGTGATAAAACTACGGACATTGATCATGAAAAATGTGAAAACATCATCAAGTCACTTTGACTATATGTTTAGTATTACTTCTGCGTGAAGTCAACGATTTACATAGTTGAAGATGCTAATTTCAAATAACAGACTAAAGTGGTAATTGTTATACGATAGGTTATCTCCTCATCTATCGTATAAAAATTACCACTTTAGTCTGTTATTTGAAATTAGCATCTTCAACTATCATCAAGTCAGTTTGTCCTATTAAGCAAAGTAATCGCATATCAGTCTCATCTTGAAATTCAATCGTTCTGAAGTCAAGTTACAGTTCTGTTTTTTGAATCGCCATATTTTTCGCTTATATAACAAATCATGCAAGCTTCATTGCAACTGATTTTAACTTGAAAAAATATCAAGTAAATTACTATGATTTTGCAAATATTTATATGGGAATTGCACTTCGTAACTTCAACTGCCATTTTTTCAATGCCTACTTTTTCCATATGGGACTGATATGGGATTATAGGCATTATATATGTAGCTAGATTAACATTCGGAATCCCTCCTTTTTTACATATTCGACGACAAAAATGCTTGCCAAGCTCCGCCCCTTGCCGGAAAATCTAATTACATAAATAAGGGTTCCAACATTTTTCATGGCTAGGTACTATATTTTGTAGTCTGTGAAAGTGAAATCACATATCGTGTGACATGACATGTTGAGAGATTGAGCTCTTGACAGAATTTTTTTGCACTTGGATTTAATTTTGTTGGCTCTCTTGGAACTGCTAGTAAAGCGGGTATAAAATGTATGGGAAATCTCTGTGAAAAATGGCCTGACGATGTGATTAATTCCTTTCACCGTCACTAAGTTCCTCTCACTTCACATGTTCATGGAAGACAAATTAAATTGACACATGTTCACATGTGCGAAATGTTTTAAATATATATTTCACATACGTCATGAAAGGTCGGCTGATGTGCCTCATGAAATACGAACTGATCAAAGCCGAGCGCTCTTTCACTCGAAAGAAACACGAATGAAACAATGGGAGAAAGAGAAAGAAACGATTATTGAAAATTTGTTTGTAAACGCCGATTGATGTGCTAGACTGATACGAAGCTGCTCGATTTCAACAGGTCTCCTCGTCTCATCGTTTTTCTCGATTGAAACTGATATTGTGACGCCCTTAGGCATCAGATTTTTTTTTATATATATTTCGTTTATTTGGAAGGCTCAATCGCGTTAGCTTTACAGAGCCAATAATTAGCAAAGAACAGTGCTTGTAACAAAATTGACTTATTTATATGTTTAGTAGAAATACTCGCGGCTTAACCGAGGTGAGAGGGGTACATTGTCGAAGGATAGGATCAGGGGAGTTTCCCAGTCGGCATTTTCAGGGGCATAAAATCTCTGATCACGCCTTCCTTCGGAAGGGTAGTAAAGCCGTTGGTCCCCGGTCTATGAGTTGACGGGTCGATAGGTAGGGTCCCTGCCGTCGGTAGCATTGGTACGCAGTACGGAAACAAGATTGACGGAATACAAATCAAGGAGAAAAAGGATCAGGGGAGGACTTTGGGAGTGGGGTTTCATTATCTCATCAGAGCGTTGCCGCCAGTATGAATGGTAATGCGGTTCTAGATTCGTCTAGAAGGCATTTGTAAAATCTCTGGAAACCTTCTGATTTGTAAAATCTCCGGAAACCTCCAAAACCTGAATTTATCCACCTATGGTGAAATCTGACCCTTCTTACTGATTTGAATTACATCGCTGAATGATATGTTGGTCTGTGTCTACATTTTTATGCGATGCTTTTTGGATCCAACTAAAAAATATCCACTTTCCCGGCGTACCCGGAACTTGTCCTGGGGAATTTATTTCGCTACTATTGAACTAGTTTCTGAATTCTCATGTGATTTGAGGCGTCGTATGATGGATTTTCGTGCGAGTCAGAATCAGGCCACTTCCCTCGGGGTATCCGCAATATCCAAATTTGAACAAATATGTATGAGTACAAAGGAACTAGTTTGTGAAATCTTATGTGATTTCAGGTGGCGCATGATGGGTTGTGGTCCAAATCAGAAACTGGCCACCACCCGGGATTTTCCCGGAACATGTCCAGATGTGGCCAACATGGTCCCGAGCACTTGATTTGACAACCATTGAACTAGTTTTTGAATTCTCGAATGATGTGAGCTGTCGCATGATGGATTTTGATCCAAGTCAGAAACTAACCACTTCCGTTACCCGGAAAATGTCCGGGTGTGGCCAATAATAATTTTCAAATTCTCATGAGACCCCTCTTTCGTATGATGGGTTTGGCCCATTTCAGAGCGCTTTTAGTCTGAAGACCCATTTTCACAATAATATATTTGATGTAATTGTTCATATTTTTGCTAAAATTCGGCCATTTTAAGACTTGTAAAATTTTCAAAATGGCGCTCTTGAAATAAAAAAATAAGCGCGATAACGACGCTTCTGATTGAAATAGCATCAGAGACAAAGTTGTTGAGAAAAATAATGCTTTTTTTTCTGGGAAAATATACAACAAAATGTTTTTAATAATTTCAAGAAAAAAAAAATCTTAAATAGCTAAAAGTACTCTTGTCTGATATTTCAAATTTTTATTTAAAAAGAAAAGCTCACGAAAAATGCAAAATTTTGGTATATTTAAGTTTAAGGACGCACAAAAATCGTAGAACAAGAAGTATTGGTCAAATTTTAGAACTTTTGGTTAAAAGTCTCAGAAAAAAAGTTAGAGTAATTTCAACACAAATACACAAAAAAGCGTACCAGCAAAACTTAAAAAAAATCGACCAAATTTTTTTATTTAGCAATGTTTGTTAGTTTCCATGCGAAGTCCATGGTTTTAAACATTCCAAGAGCTTGCATTTTTCATACATTTATATTTTTTTATGAAAAAAAAAACTGCTTAATATCATGCAATGATTGATCAGAAATGCCGGTTCCGTGCTACAATTTATTGAAAAATTTCAAGGACGCCATTTGGAAATTTTACAAGATCTAAAATTACCGAATTTGAGCAAAAATGTGAATCATTGCCCATAGCAAACAATTACGCAAAGTTTCATACAAATCGCAGAAGGA